CTTTGAATTTTCTGGCTTTCAAGAAAAAAATACATGTTTTATGATTGTCTGTATAGAACAATGATGGTCCATGTGGCAAATTATCCTGACTGTGTAAGAACCAATCAGAACTCTCAAATTTACCTCCAGACTTAACATACATTTTAAATTATCACCAGACACATACTTGGATGCATGCAGCCATATGTAGAACTAATTAAAACCAGTTTTGATAAAAAAAATTGATTGGAAATATTCAGTCAATAAAGCTTGAGCTATTGACATTTGTTGATTGACTATTTCACCTCTATTTTATTTTCAACCAGGGGCATCCCCAACGCTTTATCCAGGGTTTTTGTGATTATTATGTTTCCAGAAAACATTTAGCATGTGCAATACTGGAAGGAAGTTAGTTTTACAAGGATATGGGAGACCTTGAAAGAAATATAGTATAAAGGATATTTGACTATATCTTTGCAAAATTCACTTGATGAACCCTTGATTTCCATTTCCTATAAATAAGTAATTACCAGTAAATCCTAATGTTCATTGGAAGAGGATAAACATTATGCCATGTCAGGCAACAATGTGAAAAAAAAGCAATGAATATAAGTATGTTTATGAACTTAAGGTGAATTTGCCAATTTTGGTGTATAATTCTGCAGATAGATATGTTTCAACATTCCTTTTCCATCTGATAACAAAAGCCACATACACTTTCTCAAGCTTGAATTTTGGGAGAATTATGCATGATGCTTAAAGCTCTCACCACACAGAGCCTCTTGGACTTCTTTTTAGGTGTTTAACGCTTTAACACCCGACCAAGATCTCATTAATATCTCTCCTCACTGTTTGCCATACAATATTTATGATGCTATTTCTGAGAATTTGGTACTAGATCAACTAGAAAATCCTTAAACTTATATTTTTTTTTATTCTCATCACCTGTCTGATTGATATTGTAAGGAGAAATTCTATCTTGGTCACTCATGGGAGTTTAAGGGTGAAATTAATGATTGCTTGTATTTCCAAGGTCCTCATGCAAAGATATTCTTTCTGTGTCACACACACGAAGCTGTTGGTGTCAAGTTCATTTTGAAATGGATTTCAGTACCGAGCAGGTGCTGACATTTGTGGTTTACCCATACAAGTATACAACAAATTGTTTTTCTAACCCCTCATGGTTCTATGTTTTGTGCACAAAATTGATTTTTTTTTTACTGCTTACATTAATTTTGTTGCTAATCAAGGCTGGTTGTTTTTCAAATATCATATAATCCTTGCTGGCTGACCTCGTGTACAAAAAAAATTCAATAAATGTAGAGTAACAAAGAAAATTCAATGGTTCTGGAAATCAAAATAGCCTAATATACATGTAAAGTGTAGATTATTTTTGCAAAAGCCAGTACTAACTTCTGACTAACTGGTGGAGCCAAGGGCTTTTCTAGAGAATATTGGCCCGAGGTTGTGTCGATGTAAAAATGACATATGTAGTGCCAATATTCCCAAGTACGGCTCAAGAAAGCAAGGTAACAGTCATGCATCAATGTCACTTGGACTAAATTTTTTTATTTTGAATTTTCTGGCTTCCAAGTAAAAAATGCATGTTTTATTTTTGTCCATATGGTGCGATGATGGTCCTTTTGGCAAAATCCTGACCAAGTAAGAACCGAACAGAAGTCTTCAATTTACCCCAAGACACATACTTGAATGCATGCAGCCAATAATAAGTATACGAGTTTTGATAATAAAGAAAAAAATTGATCAGAAACATGTACATGATGTGATTAATGATTGATCATGTGTTGATTAGCTGATGACAAAAGGTAAAACTTTACTCAGATACCAATCAATCACTCTAAATATGCAATCATTACCAGTTGGTGAATTGGATTCTTAAAAATCGGAAACAGTCAATTGAAAGGAAGCTTGCAATAAATCACTAGCTGACATCTGTAGAAAAATTATTTAGTCTAAATATTTAACAAGGAAACCGGTATAACAGCACAGTTTAGGACAATTCAAGTAGCCTATCAAAAAGAAAAATATTTCTTTCAAACTATAAAATAATAAATTAAACATGATCACATGAAATACGCTGCGAATGTTTATCGCTTTTTTTTTTTTGATCAAATGCATCGTAAAAACGGGAGCAAATTAAGTAAATGCATATATAAGCCAAGTATTGCCTGCAAATTTTTAGTGCATTCGACAGTAAGCGTGCTCGAACAAGCTAAACTTAAGTAGCTTTTAAGTAACACGAAGCGGCAAAGCAATTAATACACGCCAGAATCAATAAAAGTTAGCAATCCTCGTCAGTTAACTGCAGGAACGTCTTCCATGGCCGGAAATCAGAGAAAATTAGGACAGATTAAGAACATGTGAAAGAGAAAATGTTAACTGAGAAACTTTGAATAAAAGTATTTACCTTAAATTATGTTCAAAAATCTGATACAACCATGCGTTCTTACCTCTGTCGCGGAAATGGAAGCCACG